CTTTCTTACTTTCCTTATCTTATAATTCACTTTCCAACGCTCCAAAGAATCAAGTCATTTCGTATACTTTCAAATTCGTATCACATTTCGAGCCAATGCTCCAGGAATCAATTGATCCTATTACCGTTCACATGTTATTCACAACATATAGAAATCCTCCAATAAACACGGAGTTCACAACCAATTCATGATAATCACATTATAAGGACTCACGGTCATGCTAGACACCAATGTATAGATACTCGTCACCATGCCTATACATCGTACTCGATCACATAGCAATTAACAACAAGATTCAACTCCTATTCCCTCAAGCTAGGGTTAAACCAAACACTTACCTCAAAGCTTTGAGATCCGCTTAATCCTCAACTATTGCTTTACCTCGTGATTCGACCTCCAATTCAGTGATATCTAGGCATAATCAATTTAATAATATCAATAAAGACTCAATGGTAACATCCCATAGCCTAGATATGAATTTCCTAGCATTATTCCAAAAATCCCGAAATTAGACACCGGGCCCACATGGTCCAAACTCGAGGCTCGGACCAAAACTCAATCACCCATTACCCCACGAGTCCAAAGATATAATTTGTTTTAAGATTCGACCCCAAATTGAGGTTGAATCACCCAAAATTCTCAAAACCCTAACTTTACCCAAACCTATAATTTCTACCTTGATTTCATGATTTAGGGCTAGGATTTTGCTAAATGATGAAGGAAATTGAAGAAAACAAGTTAGATAATACTTACCCAAGGATATTTGGTGAGGAATCGCTCTACAAGTCGCCTAGGGGCTGTGGAGAAGAAGAGCTCGTGTATTTTTGTGATAGAACCCGTAGCTACTGTTACTGTTCTTTTAAAAAAATTTGCTAGGCAAAATTGCCCTACGCGATCGCGGAAATAGGGATGCGATCGCAAAGGGTACCACTGACTGGTCATCGCGATCGCGTGGAGGGTTACGCGATCGCGTAGAAGAACTACTGGGGGTCCAAAACTTGGTCTATGCGATCGCGACCCTACTGGTGCGAACGCATTGAAGGAAGTGCTGAGGCAGTGCGATCGCGTGATCTAGTACGCGATCGCGAAAGAGCAAAGAGCCAAAAGAACGCGATTGCGGGCTGAAGATTGCGATCGCGTAAGAGGAAATCACTGAGCAAAAATTTCAGAAAAATCTGCTACCATTCTAAGTGCAAAAACACCCCGAACCACCTCCAATTCACTTCCAAGCCCTCGGGGCTCCTAACCAATCACACACACTAACTCAATAACATCCTACGAACTTACTCGAGCAATCAAATCGCCAAAATAACCTCAAAATCATTGGATCAAGCCTCAAAATCATCATTTTCCTTTCAAACTTCATAAACTTCAAACTTTAGATATTTAGGTCCGAAACACGTCAAACGACGTCCGATTTCGACCAAACTTCACAGAAAGCGCTTAAACAATATATAAGACTTGTGCCAGGCGTCAGAACCAAAATACGAGCCCGATACCACAGTCTTTTAATAAATATTCATTTCCATTTTCCTTATTAATTTCAGAAAAACAATTTCACAGAAAAATTCATTTCTCGGGCTCTAGACCTCGAAATTCGACTCCGGGCACATGCCCGAGTCCCTTATTTTTCTACGGACCTTCCGGGACCGTCCAATCTTGGGTCCGGATCCGTTTACCAAAAATGTTGACCGAAGTCAACCTTAAACATATTAATATCAAAATTCTTCAAATTTTTCACAGAATTCACATATTTCAACATAAAAGCTTTCCGGCTATGCGCCCGGACTGTGCACGCAAATCGAGGCAAGTAAGAATGAGGTTTTCAAGGCCTCGGAAGCACGGAACGGATGAGGAAACAGGTGATGACCCTTTGGGTTGTCACATCCTCCACCTCTAAAACAACCGTTCGTCCTCGAACGGACAAAAGAAGGAAGTACCTGAGTCAGGGAATAGATGTGGATAACGGCTCCGCATGTCAGACTCGGACTCCCAGGTCGAGGCCTCAGGGGGCTGACCTCTCCACTGAACATGAACAGAAGGAAAACTCTTCGACCTCAGTGTCGAACCAGCCGGTCTAGAATAGCTACCGGCTCCTCCTCATATGACAGATTCTTGTCCAACTGGACCATGCTGAAGTCTAATACATGGGTAGGATCGCCGCGATACCTCCGAAGCATAGACACATGAAAAACTGGGTGCACAGCTGATAAGCTAGGTGGCAATGCAAGCCTATAAGCCACCTCTCCTACTCGATCAAGAATCTCAAACGGACCAATGTACCTAGGGCTAAGCTTGCCCTTCTTTCCGTATCTCATCACGCCCTTCATAGGCGACACCCGGAGCAATACTCGCTCTCCGATCATGAAAGCTACATCTCGGACCTTACGGTCTGCATAAGTCTTCTGCCTAGACTGAGCTGAACGAAGCCTCTCCTGAATAATCTTGGCCTTATCTAAGGCCTCCTGAACTAAGTCTGTACCCAATAACCGAGCCTCTCCCGGCTCGAACCATCCGACTGGAGACCGACATCGCCTACCATACAACGCCTCATATGGAGCCATCTGAATGCTGGACTGGTAACTGTTGTTGTAGGCAAACTCTGCTAAAGGCAGAAACTGGTCCCACGAGCCTCCAAAATCAATGACACAAGCCCGGAGCATATCCTCCAAAATCTGAATAGTCCGCTCGGACTGACCGTCCGTCTGAGGATGGAACGCTGTGCTCAACTGAACCTGGGTACCTGACTCTTGCTGAACCGCTCTCCAGAAGCGCGAGGTAAACTGCGTACCCCGATCCGAAATGATAGATACCGGCACACCATGAAGGCGAACAATCTCCCGGATATAAATCTCAGCTAACCTCTCGGATGAATAGGAGACTGCTACTGGAATGAAATGCGCTGACTTGGTCAGCCTATCAACAATGACCCAAATAGCATCAAACTTCTTCCGAGTCAACGGAAGTCCAGTAATGAAATCCATGGTAATCCTCTCCCACTTCCACTCGGGAAGCTCAATCCTCTGAGACAAACCACCAGGCCTCTGATGCTCATACTTGACCTGCTGACAGTTTAAACACCGAGCCACATACGCAACAATATCCTTCTTCATCCTACGCCACCAATAATGCTGCCGCAAGTCCTGATACATCTTCGCGGCGCCCGGGTGAATAGAATACCGAGAACTGTGGGCCTCCGCTAAGATCAACTCTCGAATCCCATCAACATTGGGCACACAAACTCGACCCTGCAATCTCAAAACACCATCATCATCTAAAGTCACCTTCGTGGCACCTCCACGCTGCACCGTGTCTCTCAAGACACACAAATGGGGATCATCAAACTTCCTATCACGGATACGCTCCAATAGAGAAGAACAAGCGACCGTGCAAGCCAACACTCTGCTAGGCTCAGAAATATCTAATCTCACCAATCGATTGGCCAACGCCTGAATATCTAAAGCAAGCGGTCTCTGGCTGACCGGGATATAAGCAAGACTACCCATGCTGGTAGACTTCCTACTCAATGTATCGGCCACCACATTGACCTTACCCGGGTGATATAAGATAGTAACATCATAATCTTTCAACAACTCTAGCCATCTCCTCTGCCTCACATTCAACTCCTTCTGCTTGAACAGATACTGCAGGCTCTTGTGATCCGTGTACACCTCACACGTCGCGCCATATAGATAATGCCTCCAAATCTTCAAAGCATGAACAATAGCTGCCAACTCTAGATCATGAACTGGATAGTTTTTCTCGTGGATCTTCAAATGTCTCGAAGCATAAGCAATAACCTTGCCATCCTGCATCAATACTGCTCCAAGTCCAATACGGGAAGCATCACAATAGACTGTGTAAGGCCCTGAACCCGTGGACAAAACCAACACCGGTGCCGTGGTCAGAGCTGTCTTGAGCTTCTGGAAGCTCGCCTCACACTCATCTGACCATCTGAACTGGGCACCCTTCTGGGTCAACCTGGTCATCGGGGCTGCAATAGACGAAAATCCCTCCACGAACCGACGGTAATAACCTGCTAACCCCAAGAAACTCCGAATCTCGGTCGCTGAAGCTGGTCGAGGCCAATTCTTGACTGCCTCAATCTTCTTCGGGTCCACCTGAATACCCTCTGCTGATACAATATGACCCAGAAATGCAACCGAACTCAACCAGAACTCGCACTTCGAAAACTTAGCATATAATTGACTATCTTTCAGAGTCTGAAGAACCACTCTGAGGTGCTGCTCGTGCTCTTCTTGGCTGCGAGAGTACACCAAGATGTCATCAATGAAGACTATCACGAATANCTCTGAAACAGATGAAGAAAACACTGTGTTTGCCGGAAAAGTACTGTAGCTGCCGGAAAAATCAGTGTAGTCGCCGGAAAAACTCAAAGTGGTCGGAATCAAACGAAAAAGGTATGGACAGACTCGGAATTACTAGGCGATCCGACTGTCCAACTGGAAGATTTTCAAAAAATGGCCGAAACAGTGCTCACGCGCCGGCGCGTGGGGGCGCGTGGGTCAGATTTGCCGGAATATTGCCGGCGCGTGAGGGCGCGTGAGGTGGTGTTTTCCGGTGGGGTTTACTGGGGTTTGGTCGCCGGAGCCTTGGGAACCCTGTGGTGGTGTTGGTTTTTGCACAACACTGATAATTAGTGACTTTGACGCAATTAGTCACTTAGGTCACCGGAAAATTGCACGGTGACTGAGTTGTTTCTTCCCGGATATCGTTGGAATGACGCACAACGATAAATTTCTCACGGTTGCTCTGATACCATGTGAGAAAGCACGGGAGAAAATATATTATTAATGTATATTCATATGTTACAATGAGCCCTATATATATACACACATAACATGTCCTACTCCTAATATATATTGGATTAGGGTTATTTATTTACTCCTATTTACATGACTATTCTAACAGGTACAACATGGAGAGAGCATCTCAAAGCAGACTGAAGCCTGAAAAAATGTAAATTTGGCTTGGGAGTAATTTCTACTCTTGAAACTAAGTACATTTAGTAGTAATTATGATAAGAGTCCTCCTTTTTCATTGAAGTAGATAGAGAATTTAAGCAAATAAAAGTTAAACTAGAAGGCAACTAAACCAAGATAAAACAGTTGCAGAATAATTTTCTGGCAGAGAACCTATCTAACCAATAAACAAAATGAGCTTTAATAACGTTGAAGCATGTGATTGAAACAATGTTTCGAATAATACCTAATGATATAATGGCACATGAGATCAGTGTACCAATGGCTCCGAACAGCATTATAGTAATGAAGTTTACAAAAAATTGCTTCTTTTTTACCTGAAACCTGTAAGAGAGAAGAGTTACATTACGTAATGATCAAATTTTTTGGATCAATTCTCGCACCATATAGGCACATCAAAGATCAATAACAGAGATCTTGTCTCAGCTATGGGCTTTTGCCCCTTATCTTTACTTATTTTTAAAAATGACATAGAATAAATCTTTTCATGTCACGATCAAAGACTATCAGCACTGGACAGGGTAGTCCTTGCACCAAAATAATGGAAACTTCTTAGGTACAGAACTCCTGGCTTCATTAAGTATAATCAAACGAGACCATAGCTTAGTGGATAAAGACCTGAGGATATGCATACTAGATAGAAAATCAACAAGCTCCTATATGATTTCCAGGAACTGCTTCAATGAATGTTTCAAACTGCAAATGTTCTTGATTCCATTATTTCACCATCTCACCCAATGAAGCAGTGTTCAACTTCCTCACCATTCAAGTAATGCTTAAGGTTCCATTATTGCTAATAATCTGCTCCATATTAGTATTGGAGCACACTGCATTGCCATTGTTTATATCTTTACTCTGATAACTTAGCTAGCCTAAATGCTATCCTTCCTTATTGTTTATAGACAGGGATAGCCTTTAGGATAGATATCTCATCAGATCATACACTGTTAATACTCCATAACAGTGAGACAGCACAAATATTTTTGATAGTACCCGAAGGCAAACTTAAATAAGTGAGAGAATATATGAAGTAGAAAGCTCTTGACAAACCACCTTCGGAACATCCAATAAAGCACCCCCCCCCCCCCAACCAAAAAAAAAACAGTAAAAGAGAAGATAATGAAATTTTTACCCTGCATTAAATATGATTGGAGGAAGTAGATATATGAAAAAGAGATCTTCACTGAAGACCAGAAGGTGTGAGCTCTTTCCCCCACTTATGAGCAAGATAACAACTCCTACACCCAAGCCCTGCAATTATCAAACATGAAAATAACTGTAAGCATTACAAGCAAATCAGAGAATGTAAGAAAAATAAATGACAAACTGACAATTTGAATCACATTTCTGAGCCCCATTCAAAGAATTGAAACAAAAGAACTGAAAGAAAAAAGGCTTGAAGGGAAGATAACAAAAGACAGAAAAAAGAAAAAACACATTCAAAGGCGACACGGATACTTCAACTTTTAATATTTTCTCACCATCAGCATTATGTGTCTTCCCATGGAAACCCCTACGTAAAACAAAAGGAGTTACACTCACAATTATGAGGGCGGTAATGGACTCATTTATCCAGCGGTTCTCCTCCAGCAGATGACCAATGACAATGCAAGCGCAAAGGAGTGCCACAAAGAGGTTGATGGATACAACAGAACCATGATCTGAAGTACCCAAAGAGCCCAGTTTTGGAAACATAGAAGCCAACTCAGACGCCATCTTTGTGCCACTTTCTATTAGTTACTACAACCACTCCAATTCACCAAATTTGATTCAACATAGCCAGGTTTCATCAAAATTTGCTCCCGTCATGTATCTACTCTGTACTAGATAAAAACAAAAACTTCTGCATATTACTATATGCAATGAAATAGAATGTCCCGCATAAATCAAATCTTATTTAGTCAAGCAAAACATTATAACTTTGAACAAAGGGAGCAAAAGAGAATAATTCTCAATAACCAGACAAATATAATTTTAACATTCTCCATTTCTAACTAAATCTCACCCATGCAATCCAAAGGCTTCCACAAAAAATCAATTAAATCAATCAATCAGTTATGTCTCAGTCCCGAACTAGTTAGGGTCCTCTTTTACTTAATATAGGCCAATTATTTCAATATTAAATAATTTCTTAAGAAAATAGAGATGTTTCCAACTCTCATGCTTATACCTACACATATTCTAACAGGACTCCTGGGAAACATCAAACTTAATGTGTATGGAATAACACCAACTAAGCCATGATTCGAATGAGTTGATCTTAAGACCAAAAAACTTTCATAAAAAGTAAACAGCTTCCATTAGTAACAGTTTAAATGGAAAAACAAAATCTTCGTGTTTCAGAAAATTATCTGCAGCTTTTCTTCAAACAGAAAACAAGACCATTTCTATGATATTAAGATTCTTACCAATGCAAAGATAAAAGCTTCCAGTGCCTTTCACCTATAATTACAAAGAAAAAAATATGAAAAAGCTTCTGTTAAAGACAAATTTAACGAAGAGAAAAGTCCAGTTTCTGACAGGTCAGCGCAGTTCAATCTAAAGAATTTCCAATGAAACGCAAAAACAAAAAGAGATAACCTTTTCATGTTTTCATAATTTTCTACTGTGTGTATCATTTTTTTCTCTTTATTTTTGGATTTTCTATGTCAAATTAGCAAGTAATGATCACCTCTACTCCAATTTTAGATTCTCACCGAGAATCTTTCATTTATGGAAAATCCTGTGTAATTCTCTTTTAAGTTTAGTTTTATCAAAAATTTCTCCGCAACAATGATAAGCAAAAAGAACAAAAAAAAAACCTATATATCACGAGAGGAAAACAAACAAAGATAAAACTATATGAAAATGTTCATGTTCCTAAAAATTCACCGCAGCTTGTTTCCATTTGTTTTGTCAAACACGAAAAAGCTGTATAATTTTCCACGAAATTACAAGGCTTCAGAACGATTTTCAGATAAAAGGCAATAAGAATAATGAAAAAAAAATGCAATATTCAGGGTTTTGGAAGTTAATATACTCACGAATGCAATTGCATGCAGAAAGGCCAGAAACAGAGCAGACAAAAGCTTAGAATCCTGAAAACTTTCTGAAGCCAGAAAATTCTCCAAGATAAAACCGCGAAATAAAGTCTGAATGTCTCTGCTTTGAATTTTCGTTGCGAAAGAAAAATGGAGAAAAAAACAGAGCAAACAGAGAGGGAGAGAGAGAGAGAGAGAGAGAGAGAGAAGGGGGTTACAGGAGAAGCGTGAAATTTCTAGAAAGAAAAATAGAAAAATCCGGGAATAACGTGACTTTCTCTTTCTCTTTTTCTTTCTATACATACGGCGCATATAATATTAGGTTTTTCTTTTGTAATCAAATGCGTGGAACTTTTAGGTTGAATTTCTGTTTTGAAAGAAGAATTGGGATTCGGCCGGGGTCGTCCTGGGCGGAGCATTCGCAAAACGTCTATGGGCTTATGTGTGGGGCTTAGTTCCGTGAGACTTACGCCTCGGGCGTCGGGGCTTACGTCCCGGACACGCCCGACGTCCAGCGTATTGGGTTCGCCTAATAGAACTTTATGCAATTGTGTGTAACTAACTTTGTAAATCCTCAAATTTTCTTAATAAATTGTTGACTATTCAAAATTACTTTTTCTTAATCATAAATCATTAAGTTGAGAGTATTTTATATCATAATTAGAATAAAAATTATTGCACATTATCCACTAAGACTACTATGATAGCAAAATTTTAAATAAATTTTTTATTTAAAAATTATTTATTTATTAAATTTTGTTATGTCATTATTATATAATAGTCCATAATTGTTTTATAATTATTTTCCTAAATATTTTTTTTCACATTTAGTATTAGCTAGTAACTATTTACAAATAATTAGTTATCATGGTATAGTATGGTAAATTGTGTGTCACTTTATTAACTTGTTGAAACTTAAATATAAATGATGCTAGAGAAGCATATTTAAATTGTGAATTATATTTTTATATAAATACTCTTTCAAATAGAAAGCATATTAAATAAAAGGAGTATTGTTATATAAAAAAAAATTAAATTATAATATCGAACTTCTTTCAATGTTCATTACTCCTCAAGAGATACATTATAAGATTTCGTATCGAATACATTGCTTTTGATGTTTGAGTTGTAATGACGTTGCAGCTAATTTGCATATTATGATATATGGCATACTTTTCGTATTATACATAGTTGAATTATAATTTATAAATATTTTAAATATATTATTCGTTATAATTTTGTGATTTTAATATAAATTTATAATTATTTTTTATTTTATACTAACTTAAAATTCTTGAAATTAGTAATATTTAAAGATCCGCAGGACTTACGCCCCATGTCTCAGGGCTTACGCCTCGCCTCGTCTGAGATAAAATGTCTCGCCTCACGCTCCCGCCTTTTAGAACACTGGGTTAAATGGCCTTTTAGGCGGGCACTCGAGAAGATTTAATTCGAGAAAATAACACCATATAGCTGCGATAAAAAAATAGTGAAAAAAATATATAAAATTTATATTTTTTGTTATATACAAAGTTTCATGGATAAATATATTTTTAAAAAGAAAAAAAAGGAATTTCTTTTTATGGACAAGCGGGGCCTAAGTATTCACCTTTTACATATCATAACTAATTCTATATTTTAGTACAAAATAGTTTGTGAGACTAATTAATACTACTTTATTTCGGGATTGTTTTCTCTTATCTCACCAACGGAACAAATAATAAGAGGTGTCTCGTGTCATGTCAAAGTAAATGATTAAATCAATGGAAAAACTATTGAAGTGACGTGTTCTAACTTCTAGTTAACCAAATGTCGTGTCACTTTTGTCTAAAACACAACTACATCTTCTTTGAGTTATTATCAAGAAGATATAAGATATAGTTGCGAAAAATAAAGTGTTGATATATTCAAGTTCACAAACAAAGTACAGATCAAAATCAATTGTGTTTGAGCCCAATTATTTGTTTGTGTTGTTAAAAGCCAGATCAAAATTGATTATGGTCGAACCAAATTATTTGTTAGCTAGTGGCTTGGGGAGTATATTGAAAAAAACATAATTTTAAGGTATATCAATCTGTTTAACTCTTAATCAATTTCAAAATTATAATGAAGATTAAGCATCGATGCTTTTGATTCAAATTGAACTTCAGCATATTGAACTTTTTTAGGTGATGAGAGCATAAAAATTTTCAATTATATTCACTATTAAGGTTTGGAGTTTTAATAGTCTATCCTTCACTTCGGACTTTCTAAAGTTCATCGAACTTAAGAACAGACTATCAAGCTCTTGAAATCAACATCTATAATTTTTTTTTTTTAAAACATCCTTTAAATTTAGATATATTAGGTAGATTGTACCCCTTTGTTTATTCAAAACGAAATATTACAATTTATTATACCACTTTTTGTTTTCGGATACGAAATTTACCTCACAATCTTCCATCTATTTTTTGGCTCTTAATTTGTTGTTACTCTCTTTCTGACCCTTGTTGTTGATATTGCTTGTTTTTACCGTCTCTTTTTATCTTTCTTGAGCCGAAGGTCTATTGAAAACAACCTTTCTACCATCTCAGGATAGTAGTAAGGTTTACGTACATGTTACCGTCTTTAATCCTCACTCGTGGGACTTTACTGGATCTGTTATTATTATTGAAATTTGCCTCGCAAACACAAAGACAATGTAACATGCATAAATATCAAATAGTTTGGAAGTCTCATCGAAGCCTAGGCCTTCGTTAGATCTGCCCAATAAACAATCCTTAAACGTACTAATAGCATACTGTTCACTCTATTCAATAAAAAACGAATATTGCGTACAAGATAACAACTCTAGCAATGAACTTTCCACAAATTCTCAATTCAATTTCTTTTTCTAACTATTTTTTTCCTTTTTAACAAAATCCTAGTTCTAACAACTATTGGGGAGGCAGAGGGCGACCTAAGAGATTTTGGGGAGAGGTGATCAGACAGGACATGATCAAGCTTCAGATTATCGAGGACATGGCACTAGATAGGAAATTGTGGAGATCGAGCATTAGGGCAGTAGGTTAGGAGATAGTTATGCATATTCCTACGGCGCGCTAGAGTAAGGCTAGTCTGTTAGGATTTTATCTTAGACTGCTAGTGGTTAATGTTGAGTTCACATTACTCTTTCGTTCCTCTTAGTGTCAGACTTTATCTACTGGTTATTGTTTTGCTTTTCGTCTATGCTCTTGTGATGCTATTATTTCTTTCTAAGGTTTATATATACTATTTTTTTTGTCTTCTTCGGCCGAGGGTCTATCGGAAACAACCTCTCTATCCCTCGGGATAGGTGTATAGTGTGCGTTCACATTACCCTCCTCAGACTTCATTAGTAGAATTTCACTGAGTTGTTATTATTGTTGTTGTAACAAAATCCTAGTTCTAGTTAGAGAGTTCAACACGAAATGTCTTTGCTCTTATCTATATTCTCTCTATATAGTCTAGTTATTACAAGCGTAATTGTCATTGTCTTATCAAGTCCCATTTATTATTCCCTTTTCTTTTCTCCATTTCGCTTATCACTTTGGAGCAGATAAGGTGCAGAGCTGGCCCTACTCCGGAGATAGATTTTGTCCAGCAAAATTTATTCGTATCAGGTATTTATTTTAATTTGTCACGGTTAAAAATATGTATTATTAATTATAGGTTAGTAATTTATTATATTTATAAAGATATATATCATTTATTTATTAGGTTGGTATAAATATCCAAATAAGTTTTTACCGATTCTCTCTCCTCTTTTTAATTTTTGAAAATACGTAACGCAACAACATTCATGAAATTTATAAAGTAAACTGAAAATATATATATAGTTAAATAATAAATTTTTATATTCAACACATATGTTTGCTTTAATTTAATTGGTGTAAAAATGAAATGCTAATAAATTCTTTCTCTTAAATCCATCTTCATAATATGTTTTGGTAATGAAAAAACTTACATTGGTATTCAAATCATTTTCATCTAATGTATTTTTTTATTGATTTTACGATAGCATATCACGTGACAATTTTGCTAGTCGTATTTAAAGCAACAATACAATACAGCATAATAGGTAACAACCATCCAAACAAGTTGTAAGGTATCATGGCAACATAAACCTAATAAAACGACAATCTGATTTATTTTACGAAAATTGATATTTTCTTTTTATCATTTGCAAATTAGTTTTTGAAAAAACACAATATAATGTATTTAAATGATTACAAGAATACTCCGACTACTCACTTTTGTTTTTTCTTATGCACATAAATATGTATTTAACTATCCAAATAATAATTTCAGTCAAAAAATTAGAACAAACAGCTAATGCATATTTACAACTGTGTAGCTTGCAACTAATTTGCTAGTAGTTGGGATATTCACGAGAGTTAATATTTAGTAAGTTGTTCGAGCTTCTAGGTTAATGCATCAAAATTCACGGGGCATTTGTGAAATTTTTGACGGTAAGATAACTTTCTGTTTTATATGCATAGTCTTATAATCTTTTTTTTTTAGGTTGTAAAATTTGAAATTTTTATTCAACACGTGTTATAATTTTTAAGTTATTTAGTAAGTTACATTCCACCCCTCCGAGAAATGCTAATAATTTTTTGTATAATTGCTTCAACTAAATTGATTTATTAGCTGTCTAAATAATTAGGATTATGATTTTTAAATTCCTATAAAAAGTATCTCATGTCTCTAGGTGATCTATTTGGTAGGTAAAGTGTCACGACCCGGATTTCCCACCATCAGAGTCGTGATGGCGCCTACTCGTGGTAGCTAGGCAAGCCAACTTAATTACCTTTCCATCACTAGCAATTATCTTTAACAGTTTATAACAACAATATAGAACATAAAGTCTAATAAGAACAATAGCGGAAGTCTGTCTTAAAATGATGAATTTAAAACGCGGAATAGCCAAAAACAACCTCTACCCAAGATTTGGTGTCACATTACTCACGAACCACTAAGAATAAACTAAATACAAAGGTCTGAAAGAAATATAACAGCTGTCTGTCTCGAAACAAGGAGGCAACAGTCTAAAAGAAAACAATGAGAAGAGACGCCGGGCCTGCGGACGCCTGCAAGGTTACCTCAGTCTCGTGAATATGAATCGCCTGCTTCCGAACTACTGCTGCTGCTGTTCCTCAAAACCTGGACCTGTGCAAAAATGCACAGAAGTGTAGCATCAGCACAACCGACCCCATGTGCTGGTAAGTGTCTAGCCTAACCTCGGCGAAGTAGTGACGAGGCTAGACTGGACACCA